TCCCAGTACTCATCAGTTTAGGTAGACTGTCCAGTCAGTGAGTCCCAGAGAATCTACAGTCTCTACCCACCGAGCGCTGGGATTATAGGTATGTGCCACAAAACTGGCATTTTACATGGGTCCTGAGATCGAATTCAGGTCCTCTTGCTTGTTGTACATTAGTAACTATGCATTCGGAGCCATGCCTACCCTGAGCCAACACTTAGCCCAGCATTTTATTCTTAAAAGAGAATTTATTAATACTATGTATGTACATGCGGAGGTCAGAGCGCAGCTTTTGGTAATCAAATCATGGAATCCGGGGATTAAACTCAGGTCACTAAGTCCTGAGCAGAAAACATATTCACCCGCTGAGAAATCTTCTTGCTCCAAATTAAGAAAAGTGTGTCTCATCAAGGTAGAGAGAGAGAGAAAGAGAGAGAGAGAGAGAGAGAGAGAGAGAGAGAGCAGGAGCGAGCACGCTGCAGCAGCGTTACTAGGTGATAAGAAGGGAGATTTCCTCTCTTTCTTTCCTTGACTTCTTCCCACTAAAACTGAACAACATCAAAAAGAGAAAACCAACAGAGAAATACAGAAAGGCTCCCACAAAAGAACTATTATTTTGATCCAGATTGTGGTTAAAAAAAAAAAACCGAGAAAACAATGTATCTTTGTTCCATTGCTGGGAATGCCCGGTCCCTGGGAAACTGTTGAGATGCAGGAGGGAGGCTCATCTCATCTTGTGGTTTCCTGCTGGTGATCAAATGCGTTATCATTCAAGCCCATCTCTCATGCTGCACTACAATCGCCGGTCACCAAGAAGCCTGCGTCATATATATATTGCTTCCTCAGAACGTGGCACAGTGCTCGACACAGCGGCGGTTTAACGCCCACCTCCCAACATCACTGAATTGGTGATATGCATTTTGGCAGACACAAACAAAACTTCTCACTCAGTCTCTCTCCCCCACTTCTCTGTTATGGAAAAGCGTCTATCACAACGGCCACACAGGTTTCCTGGGTCCTCTCGGGTGGGCCTCCACACATCTAGCAGGGGTTTCTGTGTTTCTCCATCACAGGACGGGTTGATGGCCCAGACAGATGAGACGCTTGGCTCCTGGAGGGCAGGCAGATCTGAGCTTCATTTACTCATGGGCTGTCTCAGACCTCGTTAAATGGCATGGACTAGATTCTCAGTAACTCTGGCAAGGAAGCGGTTCTATAAACAACTAATTAAAAATGTTCGTTTGTATCCACAAATATTTATTGAACTCTAAATTTAAGAAATTTGAACTCTGGGGGCTGGAGAGATGGTTTGGTGGCTAAGAGCCCTGATTGCACTTCCAGAGGACCAGGATTCGATTCCTAGCGCCTACGTGGAGGTCTAGAATTGTCTGTAATTCCAGTACCAGGGAATCTAATGCCTTCTGGTTTCCTTAGACACTGCTCACAGGTGGTGCACAGACATATGTGTAGGCAAAAAGCACATAAATAAAATATGACAAGTAAATAATATCTCCAAAAATGTCAATTCTGTTTGGGGGATTTCTTTATTTATTAACTATTTATTTGCTAATTTATCTACCTTTTTTTTTTTTTTTTTAAAGACAGGGTCTTATATAGTCCCGACTTGCTTTAACTACCTGTTCCTTCTATCTCCCAAGTACTAGGATTAGACCATACAGTATCTGTGCATTTGGGGAACGGAGGTTTTACTGGAGAGAGACGATAAGTATGTCAGACTCTATTTGACAACTGGCTGCTGTCAAGCCATACACTTCCATCTCTTCAAATGTCTGCAAGGAACTTTGAACACTTCCTTTGGTGTTAGTGGTTCGTAGCATCTGGATCATGGGAACCTCAGTGCTGAGCAGAAAACTAGGCTTCCGTCAACCCCTAACCACAGAGAACACCGAGGCCGTTTGCTCCACCCTTCAAGACAGCATGCCTTGGCCTGTTCTACCCAGAAAGCTTCAGTCTCCGAGAAAGGGGCCTCTCCAGTTCCTTTTGGAATATGAGTCATTGCTGAGGGCAAGCTGAGCTGATTTAATGATGGTGTGGGCTTATTTATCCTGTGGTCAATGTGATGCCTAGAAATGCTCTATCGAAGTAGCTTGGCCCGTGTAACTGACAGACAGCATAAATTCCGTTCTTATGATTCTCAAAGCTGGGAAGTCCAAGATTAAGGCCCTGGCGATGGCTGGTGAGGGTCGTTGTGGTGGAAATGGCCCCACAGGTTCACAGGGCGTGCCACTATTAGGAGATGTGGCCTTGCTTGAGTGTGTCTCCACTCCAGTTATCCCGCACCTGCTCTCTTCCCAGTTCCACCACCACCACCCCCTCCCTCAGGTACCCCTTGCTTCCCTTTAGAAAAGAGCAGGCCTCCCCCATGTAGCCGTCAAACATGGTCTAGACTGGGGGTGGGCTTTGAGGTTTCAAATGCTCAAGCTGGGTCTAGTGTGTCTCTCTGCTGCCTGCTGATCCAGATATAGAACTCTCAGCTACCTCTCCAGCACCATGTCTGCCTGCATGCCACCATGCTTCCTATCATGATGATAATGGGCTAAACCTCAAACTGCAAGGCAGCCCCAATTAAATGTTATAAGAGTCGCTGTGGTCAAGCTGTCTCTTCACAGCAATAGAAACCCTAACAAAGACAGTCCGCTTGTTCACAGGTGGGCTTTCTGTCCTTATTTTGTTAGAAGGGCAAGAAGCTCCCCCATCTCTTTGGTGAGGGTGCTAATCTCATCTGCGAGAGCTCCAGTCTCATGACACAGTCACCTCCCAAAGGCCACACTTAGCAATAGCATCACTTTCAGGCCGCGGACTTGGACAGGACACAAACATTGAGACAGAGCACGGGGAAGCCATAGATACAGATAAACAAAGTGACTTCAGATAGTGGTAAATGTCGTGAGAAAACCAAGGCAGGCCAGTAAGACAGGGCTTCGGGGTCAAGGGGAGGGGATGCTGGGTCTGAGAATAATGTGACACCTTAATCCCAGGGCTGACACTGAAGCTGCTGCGGCAAGGACTGTCAGCTGTCTTCCCACGCCACTGCACTTTCTCCATAATAAAGGAACGATAAGAACACGACACTTAGTATCTTCTTCACTATCTAGCTGAGTACACAGTCTCCCTGGCTGAAAAACAGTTATCATTCAGATTCCCTTTAAACTGTTGTTTAAGGTGAATCCACTTTCCTTGTTTCTTCTCTTTTTTCCTTCCCCTCCCCTCCCTCTTTCCTCTTTCCCCTTTCCCTTGTACCTTCTTTCCTCTTTCTATTATGTGTCTATTTGTTTGCCGTTAAGAAACCCAGGCCCTAGTTTTGCCCCTCTGCCCTGATGCCTCCCTCTCCCTCCCACCATTTTCAATCACCGTCTTGCCCAACAGCAGCATTTATAATTCCTTTCTGAGGAAGGTTTTTAAAATGTCACACAACCCTCAGTCTCCACCTCAGGTAATAAAGGACATATTTGCAGCAGCAACCAAAATTAAGCATTGGGTTCTATTTTAACTAGACAAACCTTAAGACACTCCCCCCCCCCAGGAACGAGTTGTTGGGATACCATTGATAAGCATTGACCTTGCCCCTGGGGACAGCTTCCCACAAAGCTGGAACTGTTTTGATACCATTCCCATTTAGGAGCCAAGCAGAGGCAGGCAGCAATGGACGTGCTGGGGTGAATACAGATTATCCGGACATGGTGCCAGCATATCTTCCCCTGAAACAGAAATCTGGGCCAAATTCTCATAGAATTTAGTTGTTTCTATTTTGACATCATGGTGAGAGATAATTTTGCAACTTTGGCCCTTTAACAGGACAGAAAGATCTATGGCCCAATAATAGCACCCACTTGTGCACTTTTGGAAGCTCTCGCCATTCCTGAACATTACCAAATCATTTGACCCCTCCCTCCCCCGCACGTTGTGGGCGGTAACGTGGTATGCTCCATCCCCGTGGCTCTCAGCTGTGTCAGGATATTGAACTTCACTCCCGTTAACAAAATGTGCCAATTCTTGTACCTTTAAGGTGATGAAAGAGTTTGCGACTTCTTGCAGAAGGCACGTCCTTATCTAGATGGAAGACTGGAGGCTGTGCAAGGACCTCTTGCTTCATCCTTGCATTCCAACACCAGCTCCCAGAGCCAGGTCAACAGGCACAGAGGCTTCAAGGACATCCAGAGAAACCATAAACACAGGAACTCCTTAGACAACGCAGGGCTTCTTCCACTTACAGTGACTTAGGAAGTTGGCCTTTCAGGCCCCTCCTCTTTTGTTTTAGGGACTGGAGACTGAACTCAGGACCTGGGTAGCCCAGGAAAGTGCTCCCCCACAGAGTTACATCTTCAGCCTGGGGGTTTGGGGAAGTATTTTTGATGTTCTCAGATCATAATTTTTCTTATTCTAAGAAATATTATTTATCACCCACTTAGCTTTTTCTAGGGTACTAACATTTCACCTACTCTAACAGTCGTCAAAGTGTGCATTGCTATTTGTTTGCGCAACTGGGTTTTGACTTAAGATTTTAGATTCCAGTATTAAGTTCAGGTATTATCCTTGAGAGAGTCAGTACAGCCGTTCTGGGACAATGAAAAGAATTGCCTGTTTACACAGACTTCCTGGATTAGAGGTTTTAACTGGAGGTGAGGGGGAGGGGACAAGCCCTTTCTCATTCTAGTCTTAGGGAACCCACTCTTTAGGAAAAAAGCCTGGAAAGATGATAATGTTTTAGCTGGTGTGTGTGTTTGTGGGAGGTGGGGAGAGAGGTAGATACCACTCTCACCGCAGACACCAATTTCACATTTAAATATTTAGAATTTCAGTAGCCTGTGACGAGAGGAGAATTTATTACAAGAAAAATGATTACCGTGCAGTGGGCTCAGAGAGCTGACAGTGGACCTGCTATTTTCCTAGTGTGAGAAATATCAAGCTGGCATTCCACTGTCTGCGCGATGATTACTGCGAAATGTCAGAGTGCAAGGGGCGCATTCATGGGACTTCAGTGGCTCTGGATTGTGTCAGTTTAAAAGACAGTCACTTCGACTTTTTATTTAAACGTGCTAAATGAAGTATGAAAAGCAGGTTAAGGAACCAGCGGAGGAAGGGAAGCAAAGCAGAAATCCGCTGACCAGAAAATTTTAAGTATGATAATAGATACTGTCCTTTCCCATCAATTCCCGGGGACCCCTTGCTGACAGCTCCAGCGGTCGCCTCCTAGCGCCGATGACAACTGGAATCACGCTGTCCATCTTATTTCATGAACACACTGAATCTGAAAAATTAAAAACAGGATGAGGGCTATTCAATTATTGTGTGAACCACCTTAACAAATACGACAAATAACCGGATTAATAGTTCCCACCACTTTTCGTGGTAACACTGGACTTCAAACTAAAATTGAAGAACTGAGTGATATTGTAAATTAAAAATGTATCCCGTTCCCCAAATCTCTCTAGCAGTTAATTATGAACCCGCTGAACTTGCTTGAACTGCTATTTTGGAAGTAACTCAAAGGAATTATTATTTTTTTCTTCTAATACAAATTGGCCACACTGTAGATAATTATGTTTTTAAATAAACTTTTATCTTTCTAATTATGTGCACGGCATGGCTCCTAATTGCCTGGGGTCACTGAGATCTCAGGGTGTCCCCAGGGAAAGTCTTTCTTGTCTATCTTGTCATGTTCCCTTTCCCTTGTTGGAAGCCAGTCTCTCTTCCTATTTCAAATCCCCGTTTTAGCGATGGAAATGACGATGGGGATAGTAGCAGGGGTCAGGTGAAATTATTCCACTGTGAACCCACTCACATCCCAGGATGCACTCACAGAAGGCTACTTCTGATACAACCCAAAAGAAGCGAGCAAGCGGCTTCTGGGAGCTGCAGAATTTAAAACTGCTATTTGAAAATATATATAAAGACAAGTCAAATACACACAGACAGAACTACTCACCTCATGTTAATTAATTTTGTTCACTAAAATCAAAGTTGAAACAGGTTGGATTACAGATTCTGTTATCTTATGGCTATTGCGTGTGTTTTGGCGTCTAGATCAAGATTCAAAGATGGTGGTCCACCATAAAACTTTAGGAGTCACAACAGCAATAGACACATTATGTTGTATGCATCGAAAATCACCGAAACCAAACCGAATGGAACCAAACCCAATCCAAAACACTGTAAAGCTAGCGTTTATGACCTTGGATCACCCCAAAGTAGCTAGAGTCTCAGTCCTAAGGGAGACCTTAGGGGATAAGAGACTCAGTCCTCGCGTTCTGCTCCTTTGACAGCAAAGAAGTCCGGGAATCCAGACTCTGTCTGTAATTCCAGGGTCAGTGACATGGTCAGCACCCTGAAGGTCATTACCAACGTCTTTTCCGGAATTCCCTGCCGTGAGGGTCACTAACAGCCACACGAGGGTGGAGAATTTGTGTTTTGCTCACTGTGGAATCTCGGCCACAAAGTTCAAAAGCCCCCGTCAAGGGCTCACCTTGTTTGACCTTTCTTGTTTGCTTAGGTTTCTTTTACTCTCTCTCCGTCCCCAGTCTCATCTAGGTGGGTTCACAGCCTGGGTGTTCTTCTGGAGAACTTGGGACATTACCGAGCTCCCTCAGCTCTGGAAAACAGCAGGTGGGCTGGGAGGGCTTCGGGGTCGAAAACTGGAGTAGTAAACGTCGCCTTGGCGCTAATGAGTAGAAGGGCCTGGGCGGGGCATCCAGGCATTAGCCCCGCCCAGACACGCCCACCTTCCCGCCTCCGCCCCACCCACCCGCAGCCAGCCCTGCTGTGAGACCGGAGCGCCCTCTAGTGGCCGCGGCCGCGCTCTGCTGCGGGCGGCGGCGGAAGCAGCTTCGGGTCCTGGCCATGCGGATATGGCGGAGGCGGTGCAGCAGGAGCTGTCGGCGCTGGCCGCGATTTTCTGCGGGCCTCATGAGTGGGAGATGTTGAGCTGTTCAGGTGAATACCCTGTCTCCCACCCCCCGGCGGCCACCGCGGAGAGCCGGGGGACCGGGAGTCACGTGGCCGAGGGCAGTGTGGGAGGCGAGCGGAGGGGCCAGGCCCTCCTTTGGGCTCACCCTCCGCCTCCTCTGGGCTCTCCCCGCAACTAACTGCCCTCTTCATAGAAATCCAGCTACCCGAAATAGTCAGTGCCTCCTCTAAGCACTTCTGCGTTAGGTCCTTGACAGTACGACACTATATTTGTTTGTCTGGGCCCCGAGATCAGTGCCAGCCACACGGAAGGCAGGCAGCAAACATTTGGGGGTGGGTGTGGGTGAATGTTTGAATTCTCCAGCCTCAGTGGCCTTAAATATATATTTTTTAATTTTAAAAAAGTCTTTTTATTTTTACGTTTTCCAGGCTGCTCAGAAGGGGCAGCCAATCCCAGACTCTTGCTGGACGTGTTAACCACGCAACCCGTTTTCATGGATGCCTTCTTCCCGTCTAACATTGGCAGAGCACCCTCCTCTCCTCTGGGAGTTTATGGTCTATAAACTTTTTATTTATTTAAAAAGAAACAGAGAAAACTACTTCATTCTTGACTTGATTTCCATAAGATAAAAAAAAAACAAACCTTCACACACACACACACTTTTAAATAAATTTTTTTTCTGTGTGTATGTGTGTTTTGCCTGCCTGTATATATGTGTACCATGTGTACAAGGAGGATGGAAGAGGGCGTTCAGGAGATGGGAGTTAAAAAGGGTTGTGAGCTGTGCGGTGTGGGTGCTGGGAACTGAACCCAGACCTTTGGGAGACCAGCCAGTGCTCTTAACCACCGAGACACCTCCAGCGCCCCCAAATCTTCCCCTTTGGGAAGTGTGTCCATTCTGATGATCCTCACTTTCCTCTCAGCTGTCAAATATGTCATGTACGTTTTGAGGACAATAGGAATTATCCTAGGGTTATAATGTAACTACTATTGAAATTGCCTTTCTGACCACACATTGGTTAATGTCCTAGAAGGTAGTGCGAAATGTGCTAGACCCAAAGAAGCTATGATTAAGAAGGTTTTGGCATTCCATATGGTAAGTTACTGAGTCTTCAGACATTCATGATGCTTGCTCTGTGATGGTTTAGGAACCATGAACCTTCTGGGAAAATGGAACTGCTTTTTTATTTAGTGCCTAGACCAGTCTCATGTCTTTTTAAGCCTTCCTTAAAGCCCCTGTGAAAGGATTGATCATAAGGATTTGCCACCCTCTTCTGATTGGTAACAGTTCTACTTGGTTACCATCTCTGTCTCTACAGCTCTCTTTATGGATAATTGCTTCTACCTGAGGTGGATGTTTAAAGACACTGGTGTCTTTGGGTTTTTGTATTGTGACCCACTTGCAAATATCTGAGAGAAGTGAACATGTGATGTCCCGTGACATTGTAAAAAAAAAAGATGGTGTTTGCATTATGAGTTCATGGTTAACTATTAATCCTGTTGCTAGGTCAGAGGAAACCCCAAAATGAAAGTGCCAAGAGAAACCCCCAAAAGAGGAGACCCCAAAAAGTAGGTGCTGAGAGAAAGAGAGGGGTTTCTTAATATTGAGAAGACTGTGGCCCTTTATCTCCTGTTAAATTGAGCATGAATTTCAAGGCATGCCTCCTAATTAATGTAATTCAGTGTTCTGGCATCAATAAGTAAGTGAATTATAAAGGAATTCAGGGAAACAACTTAGGACATTTTGTTACTAGAAGGTTTGTGGAGAGTAGAACAATTCTGCAATTGAAGTCAGGATGTTTGAGGCTCACAGCTGGGAGCAGGAACTGTGGGAAGGGAGGGGCTCTCCCAGAGGGGACCAAGTGTAACAGGCTGCCAGTGGCAGTTTGGGTTTGAGGGGGTAACTTTGGACCCCATCATTTCTCTCCTGGTCTCTGCCGAAGACATTTCTCCCGGCTTCAGTAGAATTAGAGGAATATCACAAAGGGTCTGTAGCTCTCTGTAAGACTTTCCAGGAAGGCCCAGGCTGACCTCAGGGCCAGCTCTTCAGGTCTTGAATGGAAAAGACCTGAACAAATGAGTTCAGTTTAGTGGGGATTCATTTATGTTAAGAATTTGAGGACTTTTTACGTTCTGGCCACTCAGATTAACATTAGAGTAAGTTCTCAGGAAGAAGCACTGTGTGTAACAATCTTTTAGGGACACAGATCGTATAGGACCATGTTTCTAGCTGTGGAAAAGGCGTGAGGACAGAGCAAATCAGGATTACCCTGTTCTTCTCTAGCCCATCTGTCAGCCCAGGTGTCAAGTTTGATGTGGCCACCTGACACCTTCCTGATCTTTACATGAGCCTTATTTGATGAGAGGTTTTCTTAGCTTCAGTTTTCGTTGAAGCGCACTGGCGGTCAGGATGGTTAAAGAACCGCCAAGCTCTGCAGGGTGGGGCTGAGCACCCTGTCATGTTCCACTGTAGCAGTCGGGCTGGTGCAGGAACGGTTATTAGCAAAAAGTCTATGTGCTGAGAAAGACGAGTTTGAGCATCCAGAGCAAAGGTATGGGTGGGATCCAGCCTGTACTCAGAACAATTCAGTGGCAGGGGTGGGGGTTCGCAATTCCTTCACGCATGCCTGTGTATGGTGGTTTGAAAGAAAGCAGCTACTTCTTCAGCTCCCATGTCTGCCTGCATGCTGCCATGTCCTGCCGTGATGATAATAGACTGAACCTCTGAACTGTAAACCTGCCACCACAATTAAATGTTTCCTTTGTAAGAGTTGCTCTGGTCGTGGTGTCTCTTCAAGGCGAGAGAACCCCTAAGACAATGTGCTTGGATCCTTGTGAGGCAGCAGAAGCTGGTGTTGCCCATTTTCCTGGTGAAGTCATGGAGGGGCCATTGCTGCGGTCTGTGCTCATTATTAATGGAGTTGCAGTTTGGAAACAATCTCACAGACTTAAAAGTTGCAAAACGAGAGGTCTAGGAACCCAGGGTCACATCATGGGCTTGCCACACACGGTGTTCAGGTGGGATTCCGCTTGCTTGCAGAATCGTTACAGTAACACATTGACGCTGGCAGAATCGTTACAGTAACACATTGACTCTTGCAGAATTGTTACAGTAACACATTGACGTAACACATTGACGTAACACATTGACGGGGTTGTTGTCTGATGCTTGTCAGGGCTGACCCCGCCTCTCTAAAATCCACAGAGCCTCTACCTTCCTTGCCAGAGGATGCCAGTGCCATCTTTAGCTCCCGTTCTTTTTTGTTGGTTTGTTTCCTTCTGTAAGGACATTTGAACCACATGAAAATTTGACCGAAGCATGAAAAGGCATTTATGTGTGCACGTCTGTGGGGAGTGGCCCGGGGGGGAGGGTTAAGAGCAAAGACAGTCCTGCTCTCTTGAAGTGTGAAGAGTGCGTGGGAAGCTTTAGAGTGCTTTTGTGTGCAAAGTCTTGGAGGATATGTGAAAATTGGAAAGAAATCAAGCAAGCACGGAGAATGCGAGTTGACTGTGGTGTGCAAATGGTTTCTCTGTGTGTGCTAAGTAAACCCCCAAAGTGCTCACCCTCATCTATTTCATTGCCAGTGTGACGGGACTGCGTATCTGTCTTGTGTTATAGGCAAGGAAGTAGAGAGAAACTTTTAAATAGAATTAGGGTGGAGGCTGGGGTCTCGTTCAGTTTCTGTAGTTTGAACTAATGCCGTCTTTGGTGTGTTAGAGACAACGTCTTTCGTGTGGTTTTAGGAAAAATTAAGGTTTGTTTGTCTTAGTTCAGCCAGCCCACTCTGACCACAAAGTCTAGATCCTCCTGCCTCGGCCTCCTCATTTCTGGTATTGTAAGTGTGCTTGGGCTAGGAAGGGTAGGGTTTAGCTCTCTTTCAGTTTGGGTTATAGTTTTAATGTCAATACTGTTACAAGGCAGAGTGACCTGTGCAAATAGTGAACGTGGATATGAACTTGAAGAGGGCTTAGACCAAGTTTTACTTGGCAGGACAAGCATGGCTCTTTGGGATATAGGCTTATTGAGAATATGTTTCTGAGTTAATACCGATCCTGGAGTTGGGGGCAGTAGCAGGATTAATGGCATATGTACAATTATCCCTTTTATCTATTCTCTTGCTAAACTGTTAATAACTTATGATTAATTAATAATTTATTAATTATTAATAAATTAATAATTTAATAATTAGTTAAGTAACTAATACTTAACCCCAAAGTAGATGATAACATCACAGTAGAACAATTTTTCTTTTTTTGTTAGGAAAATTTAAAAAAGAAACAAAAACAGTTAAGAAAGTGAGTTTTAAAGAGATCCTGTGATTTTTTTTCTCCCACCATAACCATACTTAACATCAGAAAGGGGTCTGTTCAGGCCTTCCCATTGTCTTAGGCAAACAGTGGTCCGATGTGTTGGGGGCTGACACTAGCCAGGGGAATCAGCCAGGAAGACTGTGACTCCTCGAGGTTGAGAATCAAAGCAGTTTTCCTTTGAACGTGTAGGTAGTGGCATCCTTCTCTGGTTTCCCAAAGTGAGGACCAGGGCACTCCCCTCCCATTGCTCTTCTGTGTGCTGATGGGGACTGTAGAATAACAGAAAGAAAAGGGAAGCTTGGTAAAGATTTGCCCAGCCTCTCACACAGTTCCCTGGGCCGCCCATCACCTCATGCACTGCACTGGGCTGGAACATGCTGGCTTTTTCTGTAGCAGAGCAGTTGTATCACAGTAGCCGCCTTGGCTGCTGCAGCTAGTCCGCACGCATGGGTGGCTTCACACAACATGTTTTTAATACACTGACATTCTGAAGGTCCGAAGTCCACAGTCAGTTTTCACCTGGATGAAGTCGAATTGTTGGAAGTGATGCTCTTTACTCTGTCCAAACCCCTGGGGGAGTCTGATTGCCTGACTTTCTCAGCTTCATCGCTATATACTGAGGGCTCATCGCAGCATCACGGAGGGCATCACTCTCTTCCTCTATTACCAAACTCCGAAGCAGAGCTTCATGCCCCAGTGCATCCGTTTCCTTCTCTGATAAAGTCTCTATCTCTATTTGCTCCCTCCCCATTTTAAGGACATGGAGGATGGTGTTTGTCAGTAATTGAGGGTAGCTTCCTTACGCCAACATTCTTAATCATGTCTGCAAAGACGCTTTGGCATGCAGAGGAGTGTACCCACAGGCTCAAGGGAACAGGGTGCATACATTCTTAGGTCCTTTACTTAGCATACCACAGGCTCAAGGGCTTCTTCACTCATGTGTTCCACGGGTATAAGCCAATGGTGTAGATTTAAGGCCTATATAACTATAAAATTTGTTTATTAAACCCTCCATTTTGGGATGGCAATATTACTCTCCAAAAGCAAAATTGGAATACTTCAAGGTAGAGAAAAAGTTAATTTGGTTTAAGTATAATAATTTTGGAACTGAAAGTACCGTAGTAAGCTCAGGCTAGGATGGGCATCATAAGGTCAGTGTTCGAGGGTGCCGTGGTGGGCAGAGCGCAATGATTTGCTACAAGGAGTAACAGGACTCAGAGAATCTGTTAAAGTCAGTTCCATTTTGTTATATACTAGCAGGGGAGAGGCAAATCAGTGGAGAGAAAGGCACAGGAGAATCCACGAACAAGTGGCCAGATGTGGTCCTCGGGTAGACTTGGACAAGCTTGCCCGATGCTGCAGCGCTGGGTGATGGTCTGCGAGAAGCATGGCCACCTGGGACAGTGCACTTTTCCCTGCATGATAGCACTTTCAGGATGATTCGTAAAATTTCAGAATGAAGCTTCAGAGAGCAGGGATGTTAGGTGGCCCAAGACAATAAGATGTCAGGTTTCCTCAGGGCTCATGTTGGCACACACGCTTGCACGACTGACTTCAACCTCAGAACAAGATCGACAACAATCCCACGGCTATGAGTGTAAATCATTCAGTTGGTCTGGGACCAAAGCTGCCAACCATACAAAACACACTCTTACCGGGCAGGATATTCTAAAGTCTCAGGCTCATCTCTCCGTAGGTAGCCAAAGCCCAGCCCCCAGACCTACTAAGTTCTCCCCATTTTTCATGGCATTTTAGAGGTCATAGGTCATGTTTGGGAATGGTGATCCAGGAAGATATGGCATCAGGAGTGACAGATTAAGTAGTCATGGGGAGACTGGTTTATGAGAAAATGGAATTGGTTGGTAGAATTATATTTAATGGAAATTGATGATGAAGGGGCAGAGAGAGATGGGTCTGAAGCTCGTGGAGGAATTTGCGACCCTGGCTTTTGCTGTGTTTTGGTTTGTTTTTTAAAACATTTTCTAAGTGAGAGGAAGAAGCAGGGAGGGATAGGGAGATGCACAAGAAGTTGTAATGATTAGAATAAGACAGTGCGGGTGGTGGGATGTGTAGAAGAAAGGCTCTTCCTTCTCAGAGAGAGAGGAATAGAAAGGAGAGAGCAACAAGGTAAAAGGCTGATTGAGCCAAGTGGTTGAGCCGGTCCTCAGCCGCAGCAATTGGAGCTTCTAGGTCAGGGCCAGCTTCCCCGACTTCAGCACTAAGGAGACAGCACCCCCAAGTGGTGATAGACAGTACTGCTCGCTGCACACCCTGCACGTTTACACATTCTCCTAGTTCCGTATCTCACGGCATACTGTGAACAGATGCCTCACAAGAAAACATCAGGGAGCAAGGGTTTCTTCCGGTTCCTAGTGAGAACACGGTGCAGCACGGTGGGGAGGTGGGGAAATCGTGGCAGCGGGAAGGGCTCCCCGCTGGGGCAGCAGGGGGCGTGAGACTGTTTTCTCCTATCTAGGTAAATTAGGAAGCAGAGATTACACAGGAAGTGGGACCAGGTTAGAAACTTCAAAACCTGTGCTGCAGAGACCCACGTCTTCCAGCAGGGCCTCACTTTCCAGAACAGCGCCACCCAGTGGACACCAGGTGTGTAAACAGATGAGTCCGTGGCATGCATTTTACATCCAAACTGTCATGCACGAGGTCGTGTGCGGGTGGGTGGACATACATGGCTGCACACCGTGGGTCATTATCACAGCTGAGGGGCACTGCATTTAAGAGCCCTGCAGCCAGTTTACCTTGATTTAAACCTGAAAGGGTATCAAAATACTATGATAAACACCGCATAAATGTGTACAAATTTAATGTTTCTCTGTATCTGGTAAATACAGTTACTAGAAAAAAAAGTAACCCTTCCAGTCTTATGAAAGCTGCTCTAATTGTTCTCAGCCGTTGTCTTAAAAGAATATGCTGTCTTTATAGTGCTGGTCAGAAAATGCCTGCTGTCTGACCCAGGGGAAAACCTTTCCGGCTTCCAAGGCTGTTTGAGCAAAGGTATCACTGCCTCTCAGACACTGAGAGATGTGGGGAGCTGTCTCCCAATACACACGCATGTGTGCATGCTTAAAATTGGGTGTGGTGGCACATGCCTTTAATTCCAGCATTTGGGAGGCAGCCTGGTCCACATAGTGAGCTCCAGGCTAGCCAGGAAGATAGAGAGACCCTGTCTTAAAAACAAACAAACAAAAAATCCCCTGAGAAATAAAAAGAAAGGAAAAAGAAACCTTATGTTCATGTATCTCTAAGTGAAGACTTTGCAGGTCTAGACTAGAAGTCTGGGAAGATCTGTGCCTGCCCTTTATGTCATGTTTTGAGACAATGACTGAGCCATTGTGACAGACCTGTGTCTTACCCACTGTTTTCCAAACAGCACAGTGTGTAGGGGTGGACATGTGCCCAGGGGATGTTTGTTGACTGATGAGTGAATGAAAATCTTTAAAAATCCTGTTCCCTCCTTGAGAAAGAATGCAGACTTGCTGGGTGATGGCTGTCCAGTTTGTTCAGCCTGGTGATCCTGAGCTGTCTGCAGGTCCCACGCAGCACAAGATATTAACCAAACCAACATTTTTAAAGCCTATTTTGACAGTAAAATATATCTTTAAAGTGATGAACCCCCTGAAAGAAAGAAGTGGCTTGGAGCTGGTGAAGTTGAGTGGGTAGAAGTGACTGTACATGGGCCTGACAATCCCAAATTCAATCCCAGAATCCTCCAAGGTGTTGAGACGTAACTGACTTCCTGAGTCCTCTGACCTACACACATGCCAGTGAGAATAACAGTGATACTAACAGCAGGGGCAGACAGAGATTTGAAGAGTGCGAGAGGTTTAGAAGCATGTATGCTGGTAGGTTTGGGGTTAGTGTTAGGGTTAGTATATTCATTGCACATGTTGGAGAAGAGATTGCATGATTTTTGGAATGGTTACTGCCCCAGATTCTGGATGATGTCTGAAAGTAGTAGTTTCCTGCAGCTGGTACAGATGTGCATGGTCCTGTGGGAATCTGTGTACCGATGACCGATGTTGTATGCTGTTGACATCAGATGGCTAGGAAGCGACTTTAATATTCTGTTAGGTGCTTAAAGTGGGGGATTTTAAGTCAGGGCTCCATTGTTGAGGCTCCATGGCCTGACAGCTCCCGTGCTGAGAAACAGAACAAGGGCACACGAAAGAAGGCAGAGAGGCAGGCTCACCTCACAGCCACGCATCTGGACCCAGCTCCCTCCTCCACTCTCTGATCTGGGCCCTTCTGCCCCTGCAGAATGAATTAGCCTGACATTTTATCAACTTTGTGGAAAGTGGGGTGAAGCGATGTGGAACACATTGGAGCGGTGAAGCTGAGCAGATCTGAGAGAGAGCAGAATATTTCATCTCCTCTCCTAGTGTGCGTCCTCCCTTCACAGGGAGCCCAGCAGTGGCTAAATGTGTCCGCTCGGTTTCGGTTCATCTCGCTGCCTTCACGTTACACAGCTATCAGTGTATTTGCGTCAGAAGCGTGTGTCCAGTCACTTCCAGGATCACATTCAGCCATAACCGTGTCGCACCTAGGACTCCATGTGACTGACTTACCATAAGTAACTTCGAGTGGACAGCTTACATATTTTCTGTACACATTATTGCTCCCTTGAACACCTGCAAGAATTGATTCATGATTTTCATGATTATGAGTGAAATATGGCCAGAAGGAAATGAATCAAAACTACTTTTTTTGAAAGCTTAATAAAAATGGTCATTAGAGAGTATAATTGTGAGCAGGTTTGCATGGTGCCATCCATATGTGTTTCTGGCTGGGGGAAATGACCTGAGCATCATGGCTTTCTTTGTATTATGTGTCTCTTCATAAAGTAACTCAGAGTTTTCCCATGAGAAATAAATAGAGATTTAAAAGGGAAATTTTAGCCAATTAGTATTCCGTTGAGATTGAATTATGTACAGCTAATAATTATTTTTGGATGTCTTCCAGAGACAGATGGGGCTGTGTTTAGAATTCACACAACAGCTGAAGGACTTGTGGGTGAGGATTTGCCCTTAGAGCTGGTGTTCCATCTACCAGCCGGTTACCCTTTGTGTCTGCCCGGCGTCTCGGTTAGCTCCGAACATCTGACCAGGGCCCAGTGTGCTACCGTGAAGGAGAAGTTACTTGAAGAAGCCGGGAAGCTTTTGTCAGAACCTATGATTCACGAGCTGGTTCTTTGGGTTCAACAGAATCTGAGAAGCGTCCTCAGCCAACCAGAGACTGCCAGCAGCAGTGAGAAGCATGCTCGGCCAGAAAGCACGGCTGTGAATGACGGATTGTGGATAATTCTTTTGCATGTAGATCACATGAGAGCAAGGACTAAATATGTCAAAACCGTGGAGAAGTGGGCTGCAGAGTTGAGGCTGACAGGCAGACTGATGTTCATGGGGAAAACAATACTGATCCTACTGCAAGGACACAGAAGCAGCATCAAGGTGCCAGCAAACTTAATGTAGAATCTGCATGTCCTGAGTCTCTGCTAGACATGGTTTATCTTTAGTGTGTTTTATAACAATGAGATGGCTGAGCATGGTGCTTCTGCTTTTCCTGTTACCATGCTAAATGGTACTTTGGTGTTTTTAAACAGTTTTTTAATTTTAATTTATCTATTTTATGTGTATGGATATTTTGTCTGCGTGTTTGTCTATGCACCACTTGTGTGCCTGGTGCTCATGGAGGCCAGAAGAAGGTGTTGGATTCCCTGGGACTGAAGTCGCAGATGGCTGTGAGCTGCCATGTGGGAGCTGGGAATTGAACCCAGGTCCTCTGGAAGAGCAGTCATGCTCTTAACCACTGAGCCGTCTCTCTAGCTAACCCCTCCAGTTCTTTGTAAAAATGACTATCTAGTTTCTCCAACAACTATAAACTTGAAATACGTATAAGATTAGAAACATTATATTGTAAATATTACGCCACTTAAAGTGGCAGTTTTTAAAAATACCGATTTGCATTTTTTATGTGTATGGGTCTTTTGCCTGCACGTAGGCCTGTGCACCATGTATGTGCAGTGCCTGAGGGAGCCAAAAGAGGGTGTAGGATCCCATGGAGCTGGAGTCACACACAGGCAGCTATTAGCTGCCATTTACAGACTCAGCACGTCACCTCCTCCCCAGCTTCTTTCCACCTGACTTGTCTCAGCAGGTAATTTCCAAGCCTTCATCTTCAGGCTTCCTGCACTCACCCCAAAGCCCCCCTAGCCTATTTTATGAGGAGCTAGACAGGGAAACCGTCTTACTATGTTTTAGATCTTAAAGGAGGTACAGATCACGTAGTAAGTCTTACACGTCAGATGGAATGGGCAGGCACAGTTACAGAAGATTTTATTTAAAACAGATTTATCACGAGCAGCCTGTGGTCCTTATGCTTTGCGGAGTAACAGCCCTGAGTTAGTACCGCAAACCTCCTGTGACATTCATTTACTTAACCAGGGCCATGCTGGGTTCTGGTGTAGGTAGAGAGAGAAGCCAGATTTAATCTGTAGTCTGCAGTGGGGCCTAGCTAAGGATCCACAGATTTTGAGGCCATCTGGATGTTTCTATACACTTCGATCCTTTAGGGTAACATCCTAGCTGATGAAAATGGGTGCAGGGTTCCTTGCTCACATTCCCCTAAGGCTTATAGTGTCTGTGGCTGGCTCAGGCCCATTAGGGTAAATGCAGTGTCACGGTGTTTCTCCCAATCATGAGTTGCTAACACATATCTGTTCTTACCACTGCAGTCCCGCTAGTTCAGAGAAATTACTTCTTATGGCTTTCTCTAAAATGTCATTTTACATGGCTTTCTCTGATAAAAACGTCTATAAGGTTGCATACTAGGATCAGGAACGTGCCCTTGCACTTCCGGTGGGCAGGAGGTGGGCAGCCTGATGGCCCCACTCTGGCTGGCGTGGTGACGACGGGGTGCTTGTAATTACTGGGCAGTGTTCCGCGCTCTGGAAGGCCATCATTTCCTGGAGTGCTGTGTCTGTCACTTTCTCCAGTTGTCCCAGCTTCACCACGAGGGGATCCTGTTTTATCAGGTTGTGTGCAGTCGGTTACCTAAGGCCCAGAGCTTCAATAACTAGTTTAAATAACTGCTTTAAACAGCCGAGGGGGTCAATAACCCACTCCAGACTCACAGGCGAGTGTGTTGTCATTGCTCAGGGGAACAGTGTTCGCCACCTATACAAAGACAGCCGGTAACTCTCTCACGGTTCCATCCCGGGAGGGCTCTTTAAGCAGGGAAACGCTTGTGGGTTATATGGTTCCTTTAGCGTAAGCTCTGCACCTAACGTCCTGATTATCGCCTAGGAGTACCTGATCCTTCAGAAAACCTCCAAAGTCGATGTGGACTCAAGTGGAAAGAAATGCAAAGAGAAAATGATTAGTGTACTGTCTGAAACAAAAGTACAACCGGAACACAAAAGGTATAATTTAGTACTATTGCCGATGCAAAAGCAACTGAATGGATAATTATCCTCTGACAAACCGCCGCATATTCATGAGCTTCTCTTGTATAATGCAGGTTTCTGGCGTTTGAAGTCAAAGAGTATTCAGCGCTGGAGGAGTTACAAAAGGAATTTCAGACTGCAGGACTTCTGCAGCTCTTCTCGGAGTGTGTGCTCGGGCTGGTAAAATGAAGTGACTGGCAGGAGCCGGCGGTAAAGCAGCTGCTTTATTGTTGGTTTCCGCCACCTTTGGGGAGGGGCTCATTGACGTTTTCATAAGAGGGCACTCTCACGTTTCTCTGTAGCGAAATCATCCTCATTTCAGGAAGAAGGCGAGTTCTAGTTTATGGAGTATTAGGCATGAAAAGACCCCACATATTCTGATGTGTGCTAGAAAAGACTGGGTTCAATAGATGGGATTATCTGGAGGAGAAATAAAAACTCACGATGGTAAATGAGCTGTTGTTTTTTATGTAGACAATTTGTTTAGGAGTCTGCAATTTTCAGGCTAATTTTCTTGTAATTAAATGATTTCTTAAAGTGATTTGTTTTCGTGTTTACTTTCTCATGTTTACATTTTTGGCATTTAATCTTGATTCCTCCCCATTCCGCTTATTATGTCTAATGTTTTAAGTTGAATGTTGGGGAAAAAAAATCTAGCTCTAATTTCTTGGTACAGTTGTATAAACTGCTGGATTAAATACAAAACAAAGATGTTTTTACGGAACCTAGTTACTTTTCAGGGTTCCAGGATGACACGGTACTGTTAGCTGTAAGACTACATAGTGTACATTAAAATTCCTAATTGAAAAGATAATTTCTGGTTTTACAAGGGAAACGTGTTCAACAAAGTGAGCCTTGTTTGCTGGATAGGAAAAAAAACCAAAACAAACTCCCCCCACCACAAAACTACAGCTATTGATTTTCATTGTGAAATCTTTCAAATAATAATAAAATACATTTATTATGACCAAGGGGAGATAAACTTTACAGTGATAGTTTATATTAAAATTCCTTCCTTCCTTGCTTGCTTGCTTGGTTTTTTGAGACAGGGTTTCTCTATGTCGCTTTGGAGCCTGTCCTGGAACTTACTCTATAGACCAGGCTGGCCTTGTATTAAAATTTATAATGAAAAGGAAGAGGGCCCTTGGGTCTGAGAGGATTATTTATGTACACAAAGCCACCAAGAGACGGAGCTGTGGAAGAAAGGCGAGGGGACTCCCTGTCTCTGCACCCTGTAGAGAGAGAGGCCACCATAACATCATAGTTGGTGATGAGGTGAGCTGAGCACAAGTGCGTGCATGATCATGTATGTAGGTGTGTGTGTGCATGTGTGTGTGCGTGTGAGTGCGCGTGCACGCTCCCATGTGGAGGTCAAAGGTCAGTGTTGGTTGTCTTCCTCAATTGCTCTCTATTCTTTTTTATTTTTCAACTCAGGGTTTCTCTGTGTAGCCCCTGGCTGTCCTGGAACTCACTCTGTAGACCAGGCTGACCTCGAACTCACAGAGATCCTCCTGCCTCTGCCTTCCAAGTGGTGGGGTTAAAGGTGTGTGCCACCACTACCTGGCTGCTGTTTTATTCTTTTTAATGAGAAAACAATTAGGTAATTTTCCTCTTGTGTCTGGGTGTTTTGCCTGCCTGTGTGCCTGTGCACCACATGCGTGCACTGCCTAAAAAGGCAAGGGGAGGGTTGGATCCTCTGGAAATATAGTTACAGATGATTGTGGAACCTAGGAGCAAAACCTTGGTCCTCTGGAAGAACAGCCAGTGCCGTGAACCACTGACCCATCTCTAGCTCTTCTGACTTTTTGAGGCGGAGTCTCTCACTGAACTTGGGGCTCACTGTTTTGCCTAGGCTGACTGACCAGCAAGCCCCTGGGGTCCTTCTGTTTCTACCCCAGTGGGGTTACAGGTGTATGCCACTGTGCGTGGCTTTTGCATTGGTTTAGGATTTGAGTACAGCAAGCACTTTACCCTCCGAGTCCCCTTCCTGGCACCGTGTGGGATGTTTCTTGGCATTGCTGTTCTGTGACCATGGTGCTTTCCTTGGTCATGGTTTTTACTGCTGTGAGGAAACACCATGACCGCGGCAACTCTTACAAAGAAAACATTTAATTGAGGGTGGCTCGCTTATAGTTTCAGAGGTTCAGTCCACTCTGATCACGAAGGGGAGCACAGCAGATGCAGGCAGATGTGGTGCTGGAGTGGAGAGCACTGTGTCTTGCAGGCCACAGGAAACTCGAGGAAAGAGACCTCAGAGCTCGCTCCAACAAGGCCACTCCTCCTAATAGTGCCCCTCCCTTTGGGGGTCTTTTTCTTTCAAATCACCATGGTGATTCAGTGTGACAGTTTGCTCTCCTGTCCCCCCCCGCCCCCCCGCTATCACATTATGTCCATCCACTGATCATCTTTGGATTGCTGTTGATCAGAGGTGATATTTTGTCTCTTAAACCATGCACTGGGGTATTTATTTTTCTCACGAACTGACACATCTGTTAGACTGTCCCAGGGGAAGACCACATGTGGCAAGCTGAAGATACCCTACTTGGATACCAACCTGAGAAAGGACACTTAAGATCCGGGGCTGGCCATTATTACCCTTTTATTTGATTTACTGTGATCTTAGCGAAAATTAAAATAGGACAGAAACCAGAACTGAGAGTTCTGTGCACAGGGTTGAGCTGAACGGAAAGGGATTGTAATACAATAACGTTAAAGGTCATTGTCATCACGACTAGAGCCGCAAGAGCAGGAGGTTGGGTTTGAGCTTTATCACAGCAGAACGTCTGGTCCCCCCTCTGTCTTACGGTGACTCTTCTCTGTCCCATGCTTTATGGCTGGCGCATTGTCAGAGTTTTATCTTCAGAGTTCACTCTGTACCCCTGAAAAGGAACTCGGGCAACAATGATTCTTTCCACTTCATTATGTTTCCGTCTGTTAAAGTTATGCAAACAGTATTAATTATTACTTTCTTATATGCTTATGTCTAAATCTTGCACAAATACGTTCACATCCAGAATGGAACATGAAAATTTGACAGTGGTTGAGAAATTAAACTTGATGCTGGGATAAAAGAAAGTTTTAAATGATATACCAGAAGCTATAAGAATCTCTTTTTCTTTTAAAAAACTTTTTATTATTTATTGGTGTGTATGTGTGGGTGTACTTGTGCTACGAAGTGGACTCAGAGGACTTGCAGAGGTGGGCTGTCCACCTCCATTCTAAGGGTTGTGGGACTGAGGCTCAGACAGTCAGGATTGATGGCAAGAGTCTTCACCTGTGGTGTTAGTTCAATGGCTCTGATAGTGTCGGAGTGCAGCAGTTCTCAACCTGTGGGTCATGACCCCGACAAACCTCTAACTCCAAAAATATTCACATTACAATTCATAACAGCAGAAAAATCACAGTTCTGAAGAAGCAGCAAAAATAGTTTTGTGGCTGGGGAGGGGCCACCATGACATGAGGAACTGTATGAAAGGGTCGCAGCGTTAGGACGGTTGAGAACCACTGCTTTAGAGGAAGAGAATCTTCATTGCTCCCATTGATATTTATTCTCACAATCTACAGCTGTCCTTTAGCTTGCTGTTTAAACTAACTTCTGATTTCTTTTCTCTTTTCTTTTTTTTCTTTGTGATATAAGATTTCTTTATATATCCCTGGCTGTTCTGGAACTTGCTGTGTAGACTAGGCTATTCTTGAATTTACAGTGATCTACCTACCTCTGCCTCCCAAATGTTAGAATTAAAGGCATACACCACCATGCCTGGAGACTTAGGATTTCTTAAGAGAGAACTGACTTTTCATGGAAGAAAAGTAAAAGCAACATCAAACACTTTCAAGTTTCCAAGCAGCAGAATGTGGAGGAAAGAGGAACTCCCGTGTAGAGAACTTGGATACCTTAGCTAGTCTGGAAGAGCTGGCAGGGGGATGACTTGATTTTTGCCAGTCTTCAGACTTAGGAAGTAAAATTCTGGGCTGTGGTGAAGAGAGGAGGTGGGAACTGAGGCCAAGACTCCCGAAGGGCTGCTGTAGGAAGAAGGATAACACCGTGAAGCAGCCAGCCTAGGTGACAGCTAAGCTTGGAGCGTTCTGATTAGCTCTAGGAAGTCTCAGACCTTGAACTTGGGTTAAGGAGGTCTGAGATTCTAAAGCTCTCAGATTCACTGACTATTCTTTGGGGGAAAATATCTTTCTTATAATCCTTAAATTTCATTTATGAATTATTCCAAAATTCAGGGTCCAACAAGTAACGAGAGGTTGCTGGGTAAACCTAGAACTAAGCAGCCGAAACAAGCTTGCAGGTGGAATAGAGAAACACCAAGAGTTCATGAAACAGTACGAGGTGTCTTAGGGTTTCTAGTGCTGTGAAGAGACACCATGACCACAGCAACTCCTATAAAGGAAAACACTTAATTGGAGTGGCTCACTTACAGTTCTGAGATTCAATCCATTATCATTGGATGGATATGGTGGGACATGGCAGTGTGCAAGCAGACATGATGCTGGAGAAGTAGCTGAGAGTCCTATATCTTACAGGCAACAGGAAGTGGTCTCAGTGTCACATTGGGGGAAGCTTGAGCAAAAGAGACCCAGAGCCCACCCCCACAGTGACACACTTCCTCCAACAAGGCCACACCTCCTAATACTGTCACTCCCTCTGGGGACCATTTTCTTTCAAACCACCACAGATGGTTAGTTTTTTGTCTACCTGGTACAAACTTAGACATACCTGGTAAGAGAGAATCTTAATTAAGGAATTTTCTCCATCAGATTGACCTGACCAGTCCTGCAAGACCTGCTGGGGGAGACACCATCCTAGCAGGTGTGCCTGGCCTATAGAAAACAGTAGCTGTGGAAGCCATGGGAAGCAAGCCAGTAGGCAGGTTCCTCCACGGTCCCAGATACTGCGTCTGCCTTGAGTTTCCACTTTGGATGATATGGTATGTATTGATGATATACTATAAGCTGTAAGGCAAATGAATCCTTTCCTTCCCAAGTTGCTTCTGGTCAGTGTTTTGTTGCAGCACCAAAAGCAAACTAATGCAGATGGTTATCAACAAACATCCATTTAGGAAATCAAATGAATCTAGGTACTTCAAGCAGAGGGTCTTTAAGGTAGACATTGGTCACGGATGAGAAACACTGGAAAAGCAGGGGGGAGGGGACACGAGGCTGGATATGAGGAGTGTGGCACACTCGACTTAGAAATCCTTAACTAGTACGCTGTCCAGTTTTAGCCACCTAGTATTCTACACATCCTTCTGTGCAGCCTTAAATTTCTGTTCAGCAACAATACCTTTATTTGCTTATATATATTTAAATATATAAATAGATACGTTTATGCTTCTAACTATTTTTTTTTGGACACAGAGAAATTCTCACCTTTTTTTCCCCTCAAAGGGAGACCCAAAGTCTTAACAGCTACTCTTATCTCTATTAGAGCTAATTCTTCTGGTTTTATTTATAGTTAGTCCCTCCCGAATATTCTATAATGCTAACTGTAAAGATCATTGCCACCAACACTTTTGAGCATAAGGTGACAGG